TTTGTCATTTTGTATGCCACTGTCTTCTGACCTTTGGTGTAGAGCTTAGATAGAGTTATTACCTTAGCACCAGGTCCGGATCTATGAAGTTCAGATTCCTCCAGGTGGGTGTTGTTTGGTTCTGGCTGTGTGCTCCTCTTCTCTCTGCTGCAGATGTTAGAGTTGAACCCTTTGTGTCTCTCTGGGAAGATGCTCTGCTCCTGAATCAGCTGGGTGGTTCTTGCCTCTAGCCTCTTTGCAGGGAGTTCTGCTGAAGGGTTCCCTGCTGGGCCTGCAGCCTGGTTTGAATGAGGATCCTTTGGTCCTGGTCATCTCACTCACTCGCCAGGCCTGTGCTCTAGGTCTGTTCAGGAACCTGAGGCCCCAGGTGGTCTCACTCACTCCCCCCGGGCTGCACTCTGGGTCTATTCAGGATCCCGTGGCCCTTGGACCTCTCACTCACTTGCCAGCCTGCGCTCTGGGTCTATTCAGGATCCCACGGCCCCGGGAAGGCTCACTCACTCCCCAGGCCTGCACTCTCTGTGCATGGATTACTTGAGATAATATAGACAAAACTATTATTCCTTCCCATCATTGGCATAATTGCATATACAAGTAAAATCAAATCATTTATCTCTTGAACTCTCTGATTAATCTACAATTAATATTTAGGTGACAAAATATATGAAGATATACAAGTACATAATATGCATCTTACTTCCCATAATAGATCATCCATGCAGACATATACCATTGAATTGAAATTAATAAGAGGTCTAACTGATTACTTTGACCTCAAAGTTTCTTAAATCACATTTTATATTAACATTGTATGCTTAAGTGAAAGTGGGAATTCTACTTCAGGAAAACACAGTATAACTTACAGTCAAAATGGAAAATAAATGTTAAGACAATGAAGGTATATTTTACTAAAAGCTCTGAACTTGTGTATGAATTGCTTTTGTTTTAAAAGAAGTTAATATTTCAAATACAAACAGCAGGAAAATACACAGAGTGAGGAGACAGACCTTGAAGGCAACCTGTGTAGGCAAATCTTCAAAGATCAGTGTGAATTCAGAAGACACCAGACGGCTGAATCTGGAAATGAGTTCTGTGTGTGGGGAACAAAGTTCAATCAGTCTTCTAAATTTTATCGGGATGAGAACAAACTTACCACTGAAGCACTTTACAAATGTCATCAATGTGGGAAAATGTACAAGAATTTAAGTAGTCTGAAAAATCATGTGAGACTCCACACAGGACAGAATCCATATGAGTGTGTTGTATGTAGGAAAGCCTTCACTAAGCAAAGTGATCTTAGAAGGCATGAGAGAACACACACAGGAGAAAAGCCATATGAATGCAATATATGTCAAAAATCATTCACTTGTAGTAAAACACTTAAAATACATAAGAGAACACACACAGGAGAGAAGCCATATGAATGCAATATGTGTCAAAAAACATTTGTTTGTAATAAAACACTTAAAATACATGAGAGAACACACACAGGAGAAAAACCATATGAATGCAATGTATGTGGAAAAGCCTTCACTCAATCAAACAACCTTATTCGTCATGAGAGAATACACACAAGTATGAAACCATATGAATATATTGTGTGTCAGAAAGCTTTTACTCGTCCTTGCTCCCTTAAAATTCATAAGAGAACACACACAGGAGAAAAACCTTATGAATGCCATCTATGTGGGAAGGTCTTTGCTCAATTATCTTACCTTACTATGCACAAGAGAACACATACAGGAGAGAAGCCATTTGAATGCAATATGTGTCAAAAAACATTTGCTAATAGTAAAACACTTAAAGTACATAAGAGAACACACACAAGAGAAAAACCATATAAATGCAATGTATGTGGAAAATCCTTCACTGAATCATACAACCTTACTTGCCAT